CTCCCATGCCACAGCACCTGCCTCAAATGTGTACTTTTAATACCACTTATTCTGAAATGCACTTAAGCATCCTAATATTCTTCTTTATTCTTTGTTGGCTATATTGTGATGTGTACATTACTTCTTTTTCTCTACCTCAGTTTCCTCACCTGTACAATAGGGCTACTGATGACAACTACCTCAATACAATGAAGCCACACAACGTACATGGAGTGCTTACCATGACAAAGGAAGAATTTATCATCAAAAGCAAATTCATTTTCTCAATTTCAAATAAAAATTAAGTTTGCTGTTGACCTGCTGACAGTTTATCTCTCCGCCATCAAAAGTTCTTTGGCTTAAGATTTTTATCATTTTTTTTTTAAACAAAGTTAACATATCAGCCCTCTATAGGGCTATATTTTAAGCAAATGTACTTCAGATTAAACTTTTTTACTTGCCATATTTTAAATACAGAAGGGCATAGAGGGTGACACAAGTACTTGTCATTCACTGCAAGAAATGAAACTCAATTTTTTAAAAACAGATTTGGAAGTTGGGGGTGAAATTCAGTTACTTTTATTATTTTGAAAGGCAAGGTGCGGGCAGGGACAGAGAGTTAAGAGAGACCTTCCATTTAGTGGTTCACTCCCCATCTAGCCATAAGGGATGGGACTGAGTCATGCCAAAGTCAGGAGCCTGGAACTCCATTCAAGTCTCCCACACGGGTGGCAGAGGCCAAGGACTTGGGCCATATTCTGCTGCTTTCCCAGGCACATTGCAAGGAGCAACTGAATTGAAGGTGGAACAGCCGTGACTCCTTAGGGCTTGCTAGCATTTCAGGAAGTGACTTAGAAAATTACTTATTTTTATTGGAAAGACAGATTTACAGAGAGAAGGAGAAACAGAAAGGGAAAGGTTTCTTATCCTCTGATTCACTCCCCAAATGGCTGGAACGCCTGGAGCTGAGTTGATCTGAAGCTAAGAGGAGTCTCTTCTGGGTCTTTCATGTGCGGCTCAAAGATTTGAGGCATCCTTTGCTGCTTTCCTGAACATAAGCAGGAAGCTGGATAGGAAGTGGAGCAGTCAGCCAGGATATAAACTGGCATTCATACAGGATGCTGGAGCTTGAAAGTGGAGGATTAGCCTGTTGAGCCACAGCACTGGCCCCTAGAATTTAGGAATCTTTAAAGATGTAGAAGCAAAAATGAAAATCATGCTTTGAAAAAAAAAAAAAAGGAAAGATGCCCATTGTTTCGTTTCTGGAAGGATGTTCCTATGCCCAAATAGCCCTGACATTTTATCAGGTGGAGAGCAACACAAAGAACACGCCTATCCTTGGAATAGTCCATCTAATGGAATAAATAGAGCTCCACAAAAATTCCCATCTTAGTAAAACACAGATCTTGACTTTGCCATGCATCTCATTTGTCATAAATGTCCCAAGGCAAGCCAGCTACCACTTCTTGACACAGAACTGATTTGGATTCAAATTCTGGCTCCTCGGTCTGGTGTTGTGGCTCACGGTAAGCTGCCACCCATGCCATGAGCATCCCATCTAGGTGTCCTGGCTACTCCAGTACCCATCCAGCTCCCTGCTACTCTGCCTGGGAAAAGCAGTGGAGGATGATTCAAGGGTTTGGGCCCATTCCCCACATGGGAGAACGAGCTTCAGCCTGGCCCATCCCTGACTGGTGAAACCATAGAGGATGGAAGATTTCTCTCTCCCTCTCAGCTTCTCCCCTCTCTTAAATAAACAACAACAACAACAAAATTCTAGGTCCTTTCCTTTCTAAGGGTAGGAACTTGGGCAAGTCATACCAATCTCAGTTACGCCTCAATTTCTTTGTAAACTCGAGGTAACTTTTTCGAGTTGTTGTAAATGTTACACAATACATTGAAGACCCTTAAAAAACAATAATGTACAGAGAAAGCTAATGAGCATTTGATTATCATTATTCACATTCATAAATCCTGGTTGGATTTTACTGGATAGTAATGTCTGCACCCAAACCAGCAATACCTTTTTGAGCTTCAGGCTTTTTGTGTGTGTGTGTGTCTTTTCTGCAAACAATATGTTACAGATTTAAATTTGAAATTCTGACAAATTCAGCACTCCAACGAGACCAGAAAGAAAGTCTGTTTGCAGTCAGAGGACATTTTAAATTTGGAGATAACATGGGATGTAAACTAAGTCTTGCCTTTGGTTGTTGAGCTCCTATGGCAGCTTTTAGAGAGTGCATTTCTGAAGCATAATAAAGCCACTGTGACATTCAAAGAGTCAAACATGCCTGATTAGACTTCCATGCTCTACACTGATATGAAGGCTAGTGGTACATCTCCTCAGTGCAAATTATTTAGACTCTTACTAATGTTTATGAGTGAGGTCTACCCAGGTAATGTACATAATTACCTTCTCCTACTCATCAGCTGGTTTCTATTTAAGGAGCTATTCCAAAAGATGCTATATTTAAAAACATTTTTAAAGAGTTATTTATTTATATCAGAAAGGTAGGTTTACAGAGAGAAGGGGAAACAGAGAAAGTTCTTCCATCTGCTGGTTCATTCCCCAAATGGCCATGATAGCTGAAGCTGAGAAGATCCAAAGTCAGTAGCCAGGAGCTTCTTCCGGGTCTCCCATGTAGGTACGAGGTCCCAAGGCTTTGGGCCAGCCTCCTCTGCTTTCCCAGGTCACAAGTAGGAAGCTAGATGGGAAGTGGAACAATTGGGACAGAAACCAATGCCCATACAAGATACTAGCACTTGCAGGTGGAGCATTAGCCAATAAGCCATTGTGCTGCTCCCAAGATGCTGTATCTTGACTAGTCATTTCAGGAAATAGGGTGTAATTCTGCTAAGGAAAGGCAAAATGTAGTACTTCAGTGCTTTGGAACAAAATGAGAAATGTAATTATGCTATAACATCTCCTCTTTTATCTGTGTGTCCTAGAAATACTGCAGGAAGACATTTCTTTTGCAAGCAGCTTCTCTGGGGTGATTTCCAGTCCTTGCTTATGCAACCAGCAATCACTGACATTGCTCCGTGAGTAGTGTTCGGTGGATGTGTCCATAGGGCAATACACGCAGATTTACAGTGACAAATTCCACAGAGCAGCCGACCACTTGGTCTGAGCAATGCCAAGTTCAACTAGCTTTGACACTGGCTGGTTTACCTTAGGGAGGCTTTGGAGTAACCTCAAGCTATGTAAATTGTAGGTCTCATGTATCTCTACATAATTTCTTCTTTTTTTAAAAATTATTTTTTTGGCACGTAGCAATTGCATATGTTTATAGGGCTGGGTTTGACATTTTAATGAAAATATATAATCTGTCATGATCACATTATGACAGTTGGTATATCTGTCACCTCAGACACAGATCTTTGCTTTATGTTGAGAACACAGACCCCCCTCACTACTAGTCCGTGTGTGACACTTTGATACTGAGGCACTTTGGCCACTAACTCTTCTTGGGCTCCTTCATTTACACATTTTGCACGGATACAGCGTGGTGGCTCAGTAAGCTTAGCCTCCACCTGTAGTGCTGGCATTCCAAAGGGGCGCCAGTTTTAGGCCCAGCTGCTCCACTTCTAATCCAGTTTTCTGCTAATGGCCTGGGAAAGCAGCAGAGGATGGCTTAAGGCTTTGGGCTCCTGCACCCACCTATGAGACCCCAAGGAAGTGCCTGACTTTAGACTGGCTTAGCTCCAAGGTTGCAGTCATTTGGAAAGTCTACTCTCATCGCCCTCTCCTTTCTGTATTTCTGCCTTTCAAATAGAAAATGACACACATTTTAATAAAAATGAAGTAGTTTACCACCTTTCCATCATCCAATCCCTTCCATGATGGGAAGAATTATGCAACTTTTCTCAAAAGCTTTTGGTGTAAAGGAGAAAAGGCCCCTTCTTGACAACAGGCAACTCAGACTCAAATATTGTTTACTACGATGGGAACGATACCACACCAGTCAGGAATAACTCAAGGAAGCTCATCTGGTTTATACCTACTAATAAAACTTTTCTGAACTAAGCGCACTCCAGATTCTTCTGTCCCTCGTGCTTTGAAATATTTAAATTCTTCCCAAAGACACCGTGCCCTCCAACCACCTCCGACACAAGTGCCTTATCAATGCTGAAGGCGCGGTAGCAAAAAGAACACCTGACACAGTCCCGATCGTCCTGGCAAAGGGGACTGAGGAAGCCCAGGTCCGAGACGAATGCGACGGGACTTGCGCCTTTCTTGTCAAACATAAAAGCAAGATCAACACCGCCCCTCCCCCTTTCCAAAAGCAAAACCCAAAGGAGCTGCTGCTGCTGCTGCTGCTGCAGCCCCTGGTGCTAACTATTCTTGGCTCAGTCAGAATCTGACTTCCAAAAAGGAAAACTGAGCTGAGCTGGGTTCTCGAGATCCTGCAGCCCGGGGCCGGGTCCAAGTTGACAAGGTCTGGCGCCCGGGGCAGCGCGCGCAGGGCCGGACGCCGAGCTCTGAGGACTTTCACCTGCTCGGCGGGCAGCGCGCGGGGAGCGCGGGGAGCGCAGGGCGCGCGGGGCGGACCCGGCGGCGGGCGGGGCGTCGGCGCCCGGCGGGAGGAGCCGGCCCGGGCCCGCCCCGCAGGAGGAGTCGCTGGCTGGCTGCTGCTCGGCGTCTCCGTGACAGGCACCTCGCCTGCCGCCGCCGCCGCCACCACCACCAGCACCAGCACAGCAGCCGCCGCCTTTTCTTCCTCGTGCCGGGCCGTCCGTGGTGTTGTTGCTCGGGGTCCCGCGTCGCGCCCAGTCCCGCTTCGGGCCGCGCGCCCACGGTTCCGCTTTCCCGACCCCGGGCGCTCGCCGCGCCGCTCGCTGCTGCTTCCCAAGCCGCCCTTCTCGGCGGCAGGAATTGCGCGGCCACAGCGCCGCTCGCGTCGCCCGCAACCGCGCCACCCGCTGCCTCTCTCGGCCCTCGGCGCCGCTCCGGGTCCCGGCCCCCAGGGCCCCCCGCCAGTGCCTCCGCCGCGCCAGCCTTCAGCGTCCCTTCCCCCGGACTCTCGGCGGCCCCTTCTGCTGTCGCCGCCACCACTGCCGCCTCTGGAGGAGCGGGTCCACCGCGGGTCACCATGCCCAGCAAAACCAAGTACAACCTTGTGGACGATGGGCACGACCTGCGGATCCCGCTGCACAACGAGGACGCTTTCCAGCATGGCATCTGCTTCGAGGCCAAGGTGAGGGGCGCTGCGGGAAGGGGGCTGCCCCCGGGCGGGGGTGGGTGGCTTCCCTGAGTGGGTGGGATGCACAGCTACTCTGGCCGCAGAGCTGAGGGGGTGGGGGGACTGGTGTTAGGCCGAGTTGGGAGCCAGAAGGAGGGCGACTTTCCTTTCTCGGTGTGTGATTCTGCCGGTTCCTGCCCAGAGCTTGTGCAGAGCAACTGTAAAGTTTGAGCGGCATTGCTTCGCCCGTTTCCTCCCACCTGCGGACTCCCAGGTCCTTGCCCGCCAAGGACTGGATTGACTTACTTCCCGGATCCCTCCTTCTGAAGGAGGAACTGGTAAATGAGCGCAGACTGGACACCTAGTCCTTTAGAATTTGTTTAAGGAAGCTTGGGTATTATTTACCTGCTGGACGCCTGGGAGAGGTGCTTTCTGGAAGGTCTGTTTAAAAGAGGAATCCCTGCTTCCTCATTGGGGAAAAGAATACAGGTGTTTTATTTTTAAATTTTATGTATTTATCTTTTAAGCTCCCAGGCAACCAAGTCCTGGTGTGTCTTTCTGAATTTTGCCATGATTTCTTTACATGTGTCACTCATTGAAGATGAAGTGGGGTGTGTGTGTGTGTGTGTGTGTGTGTGTGTGTGTTTGTGTGTGTGTGAAAGATGACCTATTTGCTAGTTTCTGTGGCATCATGTTAAGTTTCGGTGTCTAGTAGGGAACTGCTGCTGTTGAAGAATTTTACTTTTTGGTGCCAAAGCCAGAGCCCCAGGGCCATCCTGGGAGAGAAGCTGGGAGATAGCCTGGGTTCCGGAGCAGCTCTGTAATGCACTAACTTGAGTGAGCTCTGGTTGCTGAAACTGTGTGGCTGGGAGCGTGCTCCCTGTGTGGCTGGGAGCATGCTCCCGTGGAGCTGTTCTCCGCCCCTTCCTTCCTTCGTGTCTCCTGCCCTCCCCTGGGGTGTGAAGGGACACTCTGCGCTGTTGCCCAGTGTGGCCCCTCTGAGTAGACTGGGTCTGGCTGGGCTTGCAAACATGGAGGCAGTTTTAGCTTTTTCTGACTGTGCAAGCACAGTGTTAGCCGCGCATGCAAGGACCTAAGTTCATTAGTGCTCCTTGGCGCTCAGTTTGTGGAACATTTTTCCGGGGTCTCACGGGTGCCAGTGAGGTCAGTTGTCTTTAGAATGTTTTGCTTCTCATCCCCTACCATATTTGCTAGAGCTAGGTGTGCCCTTTCCTGCCTCACCCCCTTCCCCACTCCTGTTGTGCAGTGGAATGCAGAGCTGGGCTCGGTTGGGGACCAGAAGGGGGCTCTAGCCAAGATCTTATCTCACATCTCTCATCTCATCCGAGTAGATCTGGTTGGTCTGAGCTTGGATGCCTGGGTTATTGATTTATTGAGCCCAGGCCTGTTGGTTTGGTGAGCAGGATTTTTTTATTTGAAAGTGTGACTTTTCATCATGGTCATGATGTCATGATTTAATTTTCTTGAGTGTATTTACTCGGAAAGTTGGCTTTTGTTTAGTTTTCTGTTTTGCAAGAATGATGGTAAGAAGGGAGATCCTCTTTAAAGTTTGTTTTTTCATAGTCCCCTATGCTTAGGCTTGAATAGGTACCCCAGATTTAGGGTGCATACGGATCGTCAGGTGATGGCGTTCAAAGCCCAGTTCTTGCCCCTACTCAAGTTCTTATTTGAGACACCTGGGGATGCTCAGGAACTTGCCCCAGGAAGGAGCAGTCCAGGTGACTCAGTGCTGGTGATTCTGGGAAATCCTGGTGTGGGAGCTTGCTTCTGCTTGCTGACTCTCTTTCTCCCTCTCTGGTACTGAGTATACCGTTTCTTTTCTAAGCCGATGTCCGGCAGCTGCGTGATGCAGTTCCTGTAGTAACTTTCCCTGCTTCACAGATGCCGATGGTCCAGAGGAGGAGCTATGGTTGCCTTAAGCTGCTTTGCCTGCGCAGCTCTGCGGCCGAGCGGACACAGGATCCTGCTTGGAGCATGGCAAGTTAGAGAAGAAAGGACAAGGGTGCATCAGAAGGGGAAGTGATGGAGCTTCCTGAGGCCGGGCCTGACTTGGAGGACCGCGTCCTGAGCTCCTCCTTCTTTGTAATTGATGCTGGACACCGTGTCTGTTGTTGAGGACCCGAGCAGGGGTGGCAGCAGAAGTGCTTCTGTCCTGCGTGCTGAGAAGGCTGAGTGCCTTTCCTGGCTGATGTCCACATCCCTACGGAGCAGGATTGTGCAATGCCTGGGATCTCAGGGTTGAGTATGTGCCACGCTTTCCTCTTGTTCGGGAAGGGCACAGGCCTTGTTGTGCACTCTCGGGAAGCCGAGCCCAGGTCTCTCTCTCCCTAGCACTGGCTGACAGTTTTATAAAAGCCACACCAGATGGAGCAGTGTTTCTGGGAATGTGTGGCTTACTTTCAAGGTTCTGAAGAGACTTAAAGGTTTAGGGTTAGGATTGAAGGGTAGCTGGGTGGCAGAATTTCTGTGCACTTTACAAAAAAAATGCACTATGCGTTTAATCCTATAGTTGAATCCTCGCTGTTTTTCACTGGAGTGCCTCATTGGATTCTCACTGCTGGGTGCAAGATGGATCGCCTTATGTCTGTTTTATAAACAGAGATGCAGGCTGGGAGAGATTGCTGCCGGCCTAGTACTCACAGCTGTATGTGGTAAAGCTGGGATTACCAACTGGAGCTTTGGTTTCAGGCTCCCTAAATCAGTGCTTATTCATTTGGTAGTTTTTATTGAGTGTTCACTTTGTGCTGGGAAATGGTTTGGATCACAGCTTTTTGATGAGGGTCTCTTTAGGTTGCTAGCTGCTAGGATTGTGGTATAGAAAATGGCTCACATTTTAATGCTGGGATGGTTGCACATTGCCCCTTAGGATGGATTCCCTGCTTTCCATGTTAAGCGTGTGTGCTGGTCTCACAGACTGGTGCTGTTAGGACAGCAGTCAAATGTCAGAGGGCTTGAAAGCTGATGACCTCTCACGTCCTGCCTCTAGACCAAGAGTAGAAGGGCATCGACTGTGCCTTCATGGTGGCTGATGTCCTCCATTGTCTCTATCTACTTGGTCAGAAAGAAACCTCTAATGACAAGGTATATTACAATAATGTCGTTGTATCTTATATTTGTGTGTGTGATTATTAGTTGCTTGGGACTTTGACATACAAAGACTTTTCTTCTATAGGAACCAAAACATGAGTGTTAGCTCCGTTTTTCAGCGGCAGAGAGATGAACTTGTCCAGGGTCACAGAACTAAGTGTCACTGTTTGAGAGTTTACTCTGTGCCTTGCATTGTTCTAGCTGCTTCCTCATTTGATCTACACCGTTCAGGTCTTTGATTTCTGGTCCCTGGTTCTTTAAGACTCACTCGACTCTAAAACAATCGCTCCCTCTGTATTCTTAGAAATACCTATCTACACTGTTCACTGGTGTCTGCGTGCATGGTACAGCCAGTCAGAGCTGGAAAGCACCTTAGCTCGTGGGATAAACCTTGTCATTTTACAGATGAGGAACTTGAGGTCTAGAGGGGAAATCATTGATTCACGGTCACATAGTTGGATAATAACACAACTAGGATTAATCCCTGGGTCCCTGCCTTCAGGTTGGTTTCAGTTATATATTGCTGCATATGGACTACCTCAAGACTCGGGCTGGAAGCAACTGTTTTTAATCTGCTCTTGATTTTAAAGGTTAGGAATTCAGGCAGGCCTGGATGGGCTGTTCATCTCTTTTGCATGCGGTGCTGACTGCATCATTCACTCGGCTACGTTCATTTATTGCTGGACTGAAAGGTTCTGGAAGTCTTCATTCATGGCTGGAGCCTTGGTGGTGTTGCCTGTGGCTGTTGTCTCCTCCAGCCAGGCCAGCTTGGCTTTCCTCACAGCATGGTGGTCTTGTTGTTAGGCAACTGGCTTTTGTGATGGAGTGTTCCAAGCAGGAAAGCAGACGCTCTTAAGATCTGATTTTTCAAGGATCACTTCTGCTACATTCCGGTGATCAAAATGGGCTGTAGGGGGCAAGAAAGACTTTACTTCTTGATGGGGGGAATGTCAGGGTCATATTGCAAGAGTGCCTGTGGGATGAAAGATGCTCTTGAAATGGTCTTTCTGTCAGTCTGCTGCAGAAAGAATTTTTTCCTGCACATATCTCTCCTCCAACAATCTGGAATGTTCTTGGAGGGCCATGTCTCATGCTTCTGTTTATTCCCCAATGTCAGGTGCATACATAGTCAGCAATAAAAAAAAATCATTTGTCAAGTGGAAGAAATTACCAGTTGTAGGAAGCCTGAAAGCAGCTAAATATATTGTCATATTGCTGAGTGATGTTGCAGTGTGGGAACACTTGGTTGGATTAGGACCGAGTTTTCTAGCCATATTTCTCTCTTTGCTAAATCACTTAACCCGTTGGTGGTTTCTGTGATGTGGCTTTCAGAGATTTCACAGCAGGATGCCTGTGAGCGCCTCTTGAGCCCTGTAGTGAGATCTTCTGGAAGAGGGCATCATACACATTTGTTCACCATCCCTGGATTGGCCCTGAGTAGGGTAGAGAACTCTCGGAATCTGCCCTACCAAATCCTGGGTGTTTGTGGTCCTCTTTCGACCCTCCTTGCCTTCAGGCAGACTGAAGATCTTGTCTTCCTGGTTCTGGATCAGTAGTGATTCGGATAGAGGATCAGGTGTAATCTCTGATGCCACTTTCTTATGGGTTTGTCCTCAAAACTTTCAATCCTTCTGCCCAGAGCACTTTTGAGGGTGAGTGAATCCGAAAGATATAGTACCACTCCGAAATGGCACCTGTTTTAGTTGGCCCTTACATTGTTTCCTGGCGTCTTAGGGCATTTTTCTACAGCTGATAATCCTGGGATTTGATGGACAAAACCATTTCTGCTTTAGCCGTAGATTTCTTGATTGTGTGACTTTCAAACAGAGCTCTTTTGCCCAAGATGTCCTAGTCAGTTTTAGTCAGCAGAATCATGTAGCAACAGGTGGTGATGAGCGTTGTGGTCT